TGAAGATCAGTATAGTGCATTTCTTTAAACTATTTCATTCATGTAGGTTTTGTTGTTATGGATTTTGATAGGGACATTGTTCCTCTGGTTGAGGTACACTGCAATAAAACTTTTTTTTTTGCTTACTCATGAGTGTAGCACAAACTGTTTTCTATGTTCATTTGTAGTGGGCAGATCAATAATTTATTTGTATTTGTACCAGGATTTGATAGTCCAATTTTTGTAGTAGACTTAGAGTTAATTGTTAATCCACTAGGGTAGTGGAATAATGACTGAGGAACGTCATCTGTGCCATATAGATAAGGCAATACAAATACTTGCACATTGTCTTCATAGTTGGAGTTGTCCTGTGTCCACATTTTTCTTGTGTGCCTATCAGTGTTTTCTGTCTTACTTAAGAAAGACAGACAGTTTTTGGCATTTTGTGTGAAAATTGTGAAGCCTTGCTACAGCTCATTGCTGTGTAGGTAATTTCTTCCCCAGAGTATAGATTTCTAGGAGCTCAGGTTTTCCTGTTAAAGGAAATGATGAAATGGAAGAGGTGAAGGCATACTGTGTACTGTTGTGTGCTGATAGCCACATTAAGGATTCTTCTTGCTGGAATTGCACACTATCATACAAGATGATGCTCCTTATAAGCAGCTAAAAAGTCAAGTTAAAATGCTGCTCTTGCAACCCTTTCCATTCAAGGAAGGATTCTGACAGAAGTAGCTTTGTTTCCACCATGTACAAACTTGCCTGATCCTTTCTTTACCAGATCAGTCCTCTGGTCAGTTCTGAAGAGTCCCAAACCCCAGTTGTCCCAGGTTCAGTGTGTAGCAGTTTAACCACATACCTGCTAGATTTGGTTTCCCTAAACGTACCTGGGTCTCAAAGAGCAGTTCTTATTCCTTGCAAATATTTTTTCAGCATTTTTCCTTTCTCTAGGAAATAGTTTTCTCTTGTTAGATCTCCACATCACCTGGGAAACTGAGCCGAATTGGTGCTTTGTACCCTGGAGTCCGTTATCATAAATTCACTTACTTGTGGGAACTGCAAAAGTGGCAATCTTCTGTTCAAGTATTGAGTGCTAAAGGCCACAGAACATGGTGATTTGCTATTGGGAGCTACTGTTGAAAAGTGTTGAAAAGATAAAAAACTAGCTTTTGTATTGTTGACTTGTTTCTGTCAACAAATTGGTTTGAGAGCAGCAGTGAAAATGCTCTTTGGAATAAAAGTGTCCAGGAGAGAGGAAGTACATTAGCTTTGAACTTGTGTTTTAGAGTACATTTAAACACTGTCTGCACAGGAAAGATTTAGGTACAGTGACACAGAAGCCAAATTATATTTTGAAAATGATGCTTACCAGTGACACAGTGTACAGCGAGTTCAAAACCAAACCCCCTTGTTTGGTAAAATACAAAGCCTGAAGTGTGCTTCCTGGCTTCAGCTTGAGCGCTTACTGAAGGTGGAATGGTGATATGTCTGGCTGCCTCCCGCCTAATAAATTAAACGCACTTGGGAACATTCCCAGGCACTGTCCAACTGGCTCAGGACTGCCTTGTCCATTCTCTTCAGCCCTGAGCTAGCAGAGCAGGGGAGCTGCGTCTGAATTGTCCAGTGTGACTGGGTCCCGATATTGTGTGGCTCAGAAACCTGGGAATTGTGTGGGAGAACAATAATTGGCACAGCCTGGTGCTGGGGGATGTCCTAGCTGCTTTCTGGCATACATGATCGTGTTCCAGGACCTGGGAATATTTCCAGATGTGGCTTGACTTATGAGTACAGATGTTAGAACTTGATTCTCCTGAAACCTTTATGGACTAAGGCATGGAAAGGACTCTTTGCATCACACAAGATTTTGGATGCTTCAGAAAGGTAGATATAGGAGTAAGTGATTCCTTTTTATTTTGTGGCAGTAATTCTGCACTATTAAAAATCTGTACCTCCTGTCTTCCTTTCAGATGGTGTTACTGGTGGCTAAAACGTCTTTCAGAATTCAGTCACCTTTCCAGCACCACCTTTCAGGGATGAGTAGACATGCCTGCCCTCTGTCAGGACATGGCTTGTGTATGAATGAACATACTGTGGCCTTTAATGGAAGTACTGTGTATGAAATATGGTTTTTAGGGTTGTGAGGAATTTAGTTTTTATCTGGTGTGCGTGTGTGTGAATTTTAAGAGCCTTGGTTTAGTGCCTGGGTGACGTGGTGAGGGGATGGTCTTGCACCTTGTAGGCAATGGATCTTTTATGTCAGCAGGAAGTAGAGAAACCTCTATTTCTTTAGCTGTTTCTTTCGGCAAACAGTAAAAGCTTTGTTGAGCTGGCTTCATTGATCATATTGAATGATTTCCTGCAGGCTTTTTCTTCTTTGTGTGATTGTGCATTATTGGAGTTTAAGTATAGTTCTGGTGTAGATGAAACAGTAAAACTAATACTAATTCCAGCTCTAAGCAGATATCCATCCCAGAGGATAGCATGTCATGTAAACCAATGACTTTTGAGCAGTTTCGCTGCTCTGACTGATGACTTTTCTGTGCCTCTCGGCCTGTCCTCCCCTCATGGTGCTTTCATTTCAAGCTGTGGCTCTGTCACACAGTCCACTTCAGGATACTGTTTGTCTTTCTGTAGGTTGTGGAATATGCTGTCAGCTTTAAATATTAATAGGGAGAAGAGATTACCAATATAAAATACTGTTTCTAGTCATCTTGTTTTGTTAAGGGCTATGAAATTTTAGTTTTGCATGTGCTGTATTAAAAGCCTTGTGAACCAAATGCATGGCATGTCATGCTTACACCAGCGATGCACCCACAATTTTGGGAACGTGTAATCTGTGTGACAGCTCCACAGTTTCGGAGCACTGCTTTGTATGAAGGATCCATTGCTCAAAGGTGGTGAGCTGTCAGAGCTCACTGTGTCAATTAATATGCAGCGGGCTTTGTGCCTGCTGATTGTTCTTCTAATTGCATGTAAAGATGATCTGGCTTAGCAGCAGCAGTGGTGCATATTTAAGGACACAGACAGTGCAGGGATGCTCCCTGGTGTCCGTGTGTCTTCAGGGCAACTACTTCAATCCTTGCAAAGCTTCTGGCGGCCCCCAGTTCTGACTGCATCTTAGGAATGTGGAAGAGAGGCTGCAAGCCCTGCTGATGCAGCCATGGGCAGGATCCCTCTTTGTCCACTTGGTCAGGAGAGCTGTGATGCTGCTTTAGTCCGACCTGGATGCAACTTGTTCAGGATGGTTGGCTTTTCTGAAGAGCTGGATCTGTGCCAGAGAATGGGCCTTCATCTCTGGCTCTCTGCTGCTCTCTACTAGGGAGACCCATCTAGTACAAGATTTTACTTGTACCTATAATCAGTAATATATCAAAAAGCCTTATTTTATTTAATGTATTTATTAGTGATAAAAGCAGGCTGTTGCCACCTACAGTTACACTCTCCTTCTTTGTAGTGCTCATATGAACTACAGTGAAGAGACGTGACCTGACTGAGAATTAATTCAAAACATGTATTTTCAGCCATGTTTGTTCTCTGGTCAGATAGCCACTTTAATGGTTTGGGTGGCTTCTCACCAGCATGCACATTTCAGCCTCACTGGGATGGTATTAGAAATGAGATATGTATGGCAGAGGCAAGAAGGAAGCAAGGCCCATTATTGCCTTCATCAGTTGCCAACACTTAAGGTTTTATTAAAAGTTGCTGTGGAACTGAGGTGGTTGTCAGCCCTGAAAGTGGTCTCAAGTCCAATCAAGTGCTGTCTGCTCTTTTGTTTTGTAACACTAATGAATTTTCCCTGTGTAATGAGAAGAAATAAAAACACCATCCTCACATTTCTTTTCTTTAGCATTCAGTCCAAACTTGAGTGTATTGGCTAAACTTGATAATTTCAATTTCAGTTACAACACTTATATTTAAAATAAAGGTTTGGTGACTTTGGATTCTTCCTGTTGCAACTTTTTGGAGGCTGTTAATTTTAAAGGTAATATAGCAGCCAGCCAGGCTTCAGGCTGCATAATTAGGAAGGAGAGATTCAAGTTGCTTGTGAAACAAATTCTCTTCATTTCTGAAGTGAGAGGTTTAGTTGTATGTTACTTATATAAAATAAACTATCTGTTTTCAGTGGTCACTGAGCAAGTATGTTATAGAGCTGATCTTTGTTTATGCTCCTGAAAGTCTGGTACCTGTTTACAATAGTATGCTGTTTTCTTGCTTTGTTTAAATTTGTCTCTGCTTTAGTTTGTGTCTGTGACTGAATGTTCCTTTATCTTTCCCATTGTGATCTGCTCCTTGAACCAGTTTGGTCAAGGCTGAGTTGTCTCTCCTTTTCTCCTACTTGATTTAGCAATGAAAGTTGTTATGTGATAGTTGAATCTTAAGGTACTACAGTATAAAAAATTCTGGTTTTCATACTGTGTGAAAGAATATTTAGCTGTTTAATCAAAGAGAGTACAGAAACCAGCTAAATATCAGCTATAATGTGTTTTTCTTCAGAGTTTGAATTTCTGTTTTTCAGAATAGCAAGAAATTACCGTGTATGTGGAAATTGAGTTTAATGGTGAAGTGGTGATACTTGAACTTAGATTGTGATGTTCAGTTTTGGATACACATGGCCTTTGTTGGAAGTCTTGGGGCAGTTTATGTTTAAAAACAAACAAAAACAAAAAAAAAATCCCAACCCAGAAACTATCTTTTAAAATTGAATTTTGTAAAGAACTAGGCTGAGGAAGTTTTGCCTGTTTTAAGGAACATTGCAACTGTATCAATTACTTAAAAAACAAGAACTTGTTCACCTTTAAAAACATTTATCATTTACCTTGAATCACTTGTTCCATTTTGATAGCCTCCTTCATATAGAAAATATAGCATGAGATGTCAGTCTAAATTCCAGTCTAACAGTGCTCTATCTTCTATGTGAAAGGAAGTATTCTGTACATTTTTCCATGTTTGACATCATGGTGTTTTGAATAACCATGTTCCATATTCATATCAATTTTTTGTTTTTGTTTTCAATTTATGCACAGCACTTGCTCTGAAATTTGGGGACTGAGTACACCAAACACGATAGATCAGTGGGATACAGCAGGCCTTTACAGCTTCTCTGAACAAACCAGGTGAATATTCTGCCCTCTCTCGCATCATAAAAATCTTGTGGGAGGGATTGGCTTTGGAGGGTCTGTAATGGGATGCTTTAGCTGTAAAATAGACTAAAATGATTCCTAGGCCTCTCATGATATAGCATTTTGAAGTATTTCTTTGCCAATGTAGAAATCAGTGTGTTCACAGCTGATGTTTTGACCAATGAAACTCTTAATTCTACTGTTACTCCTTTCTCATGCCAGTGCTATTGAAAGAATGGGAAGACTTGTTAAATGCAAGCTCTAATGTGATTTGGTATTTTATTAACAAAATTGGAAAACTTAATTCTATAGACCTAATCTTACAAAGTGTTTAAACTGCTTTGTATGCCACAAGCTTTGAGTTAAATCTTGCTAATTGGCTCAGATACAAGCTACTAAAGAATTGTTTGTAAATTCTTCAGTACTTAATGGTGGGCAAATTCTAAACAGGGTCTTTATTTTTTCATGTCACATTACTTGATTTGTGTATTGAGGTTTGTCTCCCATCCCATAACAATCATAAACATCTGCATTTGTGTAAGCATATGCAGTCTGTCTTAAAACTAGCAAAACATTTTCAGCTGGTAGCAAGGCAGATGAAGAAGATAAACTGTACAGCCCTTACAAGATGTGCATTCATGTGTTTTGCATTGCAGTTATACTGCCATGTGGATCACTTGGGCAGCTGACTGCTTATAGGCTTATTTGCAGTCCTGTGGGAGTTCTTATGCTTAAAACCATAAAGCATCCATGCCACAGCAAAGCCTTGAGGTACCTTTAGAAGTGGAAGGGACCATTAAGTGTGTGATTTCATTTTTAACTGTCTTCTGCATTTAAAAAAAAAAAGTATATGAAGCAATCATTCTAAATACTTGGTTGGATGTAAGGGGCTTTTAATGAACTCTAAATTCACTGGCAATAATTTGAGCAGCTCAAAAATGAGTTGACATTGCTTGATACGATCATTTTAATTGCATTTGAAGCCTTTTAATTAGAGTATAGATGTCACTAGCAGAGTCAACGCACTGAATTCTGAGAATGAGTGACCCATGTGTGTACTCTGTTGCTGGAGCGATCGAGGCAGCACTCAGTGTGTAAACTCTTCTCCACATGTTTCCCCTGCAGATCTCTCGATGGCCGTCTGCAGGTGTCTCACCGCAAGGGACTGCCTCATGTCATTTACTGCCGCCTGTGGCGCTGGCCAGACCTTCACAGCCACCATGAACTTAAGGCAATTGAAAACTGTGAATATGCTTTTAATCTTAAAAAGGATGAAGTATGTGTAAACCCTTACCACTACCAGCGAGTGGAGACGCCAGGTAGGAGAACTTCTGACTTCCTGTGGCAGAATCTGTTTGTGTTTGTTCAGCATAATGTTTTAAATTAAAAGCAAGGGAAGGGTGGTGTCCTCTCTTGGTAGAAGTACAATATTCTTTTTGAGATCATATCCCTGAAAGTTTTTAATAGTAAAGTTACTGAAACATCTTTACAAATGTGTTTATAAACACCTCCAGGACTGCTAGCAATTTCCAGCTGGCCAGGTGAAATTCAGACTGGATAGGACAAAAAAGTTGATTTACCTTTGCTAAGGAACCTCAGGAATCCCATTTCTTCCAATAACTAGCTGTGCAAATGTATTATTAGCAGTGCTGAGTTTCAGAAGATTTCAAAATGTCTGAAGAAACTCTTAGATGTTTTTAGATTTATTGTTTTCCTCTAGCTCATAAAATTGTGTATTTTCATTCCCAGTGATTTTTGAATTTTGCCTTTCCAGTCTTGCCTCCTGTGCTTGTGCCGCGGCACACTGAGATCCTAACGGAGCTCCCACCTCTGGATGACTATACCCATTCCATTCCTGAGAACACTAACTTTCCAGCTGGGATTGAACCACAGAGCAATTACATACCAGGTATTTTCTTAACTCCCACTGTAGACAGCATGTTCTGACATTGTGCCACTGGAACAAAGATGGTCATTTCATCCTTGTAAGTGATCAAATTATTTAAAATAAGCAACACTAAATTAGCTTTAGTTGATTTCATGTATTAATTCCAGTGGAAATACCTAAATACTGTTATTTGCAGAACATGATCCTGCATGAAACTATATTACTGTCATTTCACAATACCTGACTTGGTTTCAGTAGCTTGTTTAAGATTCAGAATGCTATTAAGTCCAAAGAAGATCTTCACCTTCTGCTTTAAGCTTCTTTCACAAACATGCAGGGGTTGCCAAATGCTGTGCATTTGTGATTGAGTAGTAAACTGATGCTCAGTCTCATCCTGTGTAATATATGGGGAAAACTTTTAAGTTGCAAAGCAATGACTTTACAAGTGTCTTGATCTGTAGTTCACATCACAATATCGAACTGTTAAAGAATTTCTCCTTCCTCTCTTTTCCCCTTTTTCCACCCCAAAACAAGCAGCAGTGCTAATCTGCTGCACTGAAACCCTGTTACCTTCATTGAAACATAAAATCAATGACCTTTTCTTCCTGCCCCAACTTCCTGTTTCCTATCTCTTCAGGAAGTCACTTGGAGTGTAAAACCAAGTAAAGCTGAAGTTTGCTCATAAATGTTTAATTTGTTCATGTTATGAATAAGCTGAAAATTTGTATCTGGAGTCTCTGAAAGAATGACATGACTGCCCAAAACTCAAATATGTGCAAAGTGCAAGTTGTACATGCAGGTCTTAAGCAAAATGTTGCTTGTGTTTCCTTTAAATGTATCCAAGAATTGAAATGGCGTTAAACAATCAATTTTCACCTTTCTGTTTAATTTTGGCCACATCTGTTTCTACCTTTATAGAACAATTCAAGGTGCTAGAAGCTGGTGTTGCTTTCTTAACTCGCATATAGTTTTTTAACTCAAACTGAGGGATTTTGGTAAGATATGCAAACAGCTTACTGGAAAGCCATTTGCTGCAAACCCAGTGCTATGGAAATGAGCTAAAGTAGTTATTTGCAGGAAGTTTGCTCAAGGTGATTGTAGGAACTCACATGATCTTCAAATGTTTATGCAGGTAACCACACCTCCTTGTCCTTGTCAGTGACACCCTCCTCCTGTGCTCATATCTTGGTATCTTACTTTGTTTCCTTGCTGGCTTAATCTAGAATGCTTGGCTGGGTTCTGATAAGCCTTGTGTGCCTTGACAGCCTTCTCCAGGGAACCGTTTTCTTCAGCAGTAGGGCAGGCTCACGTCTGGTAGCTTTGTACCCCAGACCTGTCTCAGTACTTGATCTGCAAGATAGCTTGGTGGTAATGAAGGTACAGGGTGGCCTTTGGGAGCTGCATGTTCCTGTTTGGGTTCTGGATGGGCTGAGCTGCATCAGCCACACTTCTGGCAGCACTCAAGCTCTACCACAAACCTTTGGTGCCCCACCTGGGTGTTCATTTCCAGCTGTGTGGTGCTCAACCTCTGACCTTAAACTGTTAATAGTACTAGGTAGACTAAATCTTCTCTGTTTGGGCAGAGACTGGACATGGAAAATAATCTGTGCCAAAGAGCCTAGATTAGCAACTGGAAACAGGAGTCATGGGTTGGATTGGAAATGTGTATTGACCTTTTGCCACAGCTATGGGCTTAAGCAATAGCTAATGATTAGGAGAAGGGTGGAGTCCTCGGTATCACAATGACTGCTGTAAAAATCTTCAAAATGGATATGATTTTTGTTATCATATTTCTTACTAATGAAGATTTCCTTTAATTGTCCTTTTGAATTCTCACTTGAATTCTGTCATGGCTATATTTAGCACACGACATGAATCAAAGATAAAATTCTCTCCGTTCATTTTAATTTAATCAATTGACTTAATCTAGTTTCCTGTCACTGGTTTCCTTCTGATCTCACAATATTGCAGTATATCTCAGACATGATGCTTGTTATAATTTTATTTTATTTCTTAAGCAAAAAGGCTTTATCTTTGAATTTCTGCTGTTTGGTAATAATGTAATTAAAGGTGTTTAACCCCTAGAAGATTCAGAGACAATTCTAAGGTGATTGTAAAGATAGTTAGCTTCAAAGACTTTAACTAAAGAAACATAGGTTTTGCCTGTAATATGTAGGAAAAGACATTTGCCCAGTTCAAAGAAACATATTTCCTGGAAGGCAGTTGGTTAACTCGTTATCTGGATTATGAAGAATAGTTTGAATGGAGAAGATGGACATGCATACTCTCCTGGGTTTTGAAGATATTTCTGAGGAATTAAATACAGTTTCTGGTGTCAGAATGCTTCAAAGTTGGTACTGAATTTACTTTGGTCTGTGAAATTCTGTCTTTAGAGAAAGCTAGTTAAAAGAGTAGATGATAATGTTAATAGAGCTTAGAAGTATTAGTAGTAATAATATAACTTGTGCAGTGTTCTAAGTTAATATAGTTATAAATGAGTCAACTCAGCTGTTGTGTATGGAAGAAGTACATATTTGGGGACTGAACTGAAAAACAACCTTTAAATCTAACAACTTCAGTAAGGTGTGGGAGGGTATCTGATCTGATGGTTACCCTACATAAGGACAGCTCACATTATTTTTTTGTGGAAATCACCAGATGGTTTTTTTCATTTGTAATTCTACTAAACATGAAAGCTGTTGATCAAATTGCAAAATTGTTACTCATTGTAGTGACAGCATCTTGTCTTAAATGGAACAAGGATTCTGGTATTTATATAACATATTTCAGCAACTGACTGACATACAAAAGAAGATACATTTTACATACCAATAAGGCAGGTAACGTGTTTGAAATCCTGCTTGAAGGAAAAAGGGACAGTAAAATGACATTCAGATTCAGTGTTCAGGTAGGTGTAAAAGAGCTTATGAAGATGTCATTACAAACTGCACAAGACTTAAATCTTCTAGAAGTTTGCCTAGTCATTTTACAAGTTGGTGGATTTTTCTTTTTTTTTTTTTTTATAAGAAACACCTCCTCCAGGATATATCAGTGAAGATGGAGAAACAAGTGACCAGCAGCTGAACCAAAGCATGGATACAGGTAACATTTATTTTTCATCACTTTTAAGGCTTTGTATTACTAGCTGTGATCCCTCTTCATAGGAGTATGAATTCAGCCCAAAAGTGACAGTTTTCCTCTGTAAAACCTGGTGTTTTATGCCTAAAATACCACTTTCAGTCTTTAATGAACAAAACAACTTTTTGCCAGGGAAATGCTTCTAAAACATTCTGTGACATATTAAGTATATTTGTTCTGTAACAGAAGCATACAAGTCTAATTAAGACTTCACCAGAAACCCTTAAAATAGATTTTAACAGCTAATTGGTTTCAACCATTCTCCGTCAAACAGGTTAATTGAAGCACGATGTCTGTTGGCCTAAACAAGGTACAGACAATCTATGTTCTGAGAACCTGTCTCAACCTCAGACAAACTTACTGCTTGTGCCATGTTTCAAATTAATTCTTGTGTGGAAGGTTCTGTGGCAAAAGTAACAGCATTTGTGCCATTTTTATGTAAGGGTTTCTCGATAATGTGGTTGACCTTAGACTTGGACAAAGCACAGTTAACGTGCTGGGTAGGAACCTCCTGCTGTGTGTTGGCAGGCTTGAGTGAGCTTGGTTAGCTAATGTTAGCAACCATTTTCAGTAAGTTGGGATCAGCTGCTCCAGTTTCTGTAAGAGCTGGAATATTTTCTCACTATGTGACAATAAATACCTTAATTAAAACAGCCTGACATCAGCAGTCACTGTAGGAATGTTTCTGTGAAAGCCTTTCTGTATTTTGCCACCTTGTGTGCAAATTGTGTTGAGAGTTCATGTTATTATGAGTGTTTAAATTCCTCCTTCTGGAAAAGAATTATTTCCTCAAATGTGGAAATCTAGCTTGCTCTTTTCTGGCGATCATAGAATCATAAATCATAGAATGATTTGGGATAAAAGGGACCTTAGAGACCGTCTCTTTCCACCAGGGACACCTTCCACTACCCCATGTTGCTCCCAGCCCTGTCCAGCCTGGCCTTGGACACTTCAAGGTACAGCCACAGCTTCTCTGGGAAACCTGTGCCAGGGCCTCACCATCCTCAGCATAGAATTTTTTTTCCCAATATCTAATCTAAATATTTCCTCTTTCAGTTTGAAGTCTTTCTCTCTTGTCCTGTCATTACCTGGTCTTGTAAACAATCCCTTTCCAACTTTCTTGAAGGCTCCCTTCAGATACTGGAAGGTCTTTTCCAAGATAAATCTTTTCCTTTGAGAACAGAGAGGCAATGTCTTGTCTCATCCACACTTTCTTACCCGTTTTTTTACTGAATTTGGGAAGTCACTGCCTTCTTGCTGGAGAAGTGCATAAATAGCGTTGAGAGTGTGCACAAAGCAGCAGAGTTCTGCCAAATACAATGCTAAGTTAATTGAATCTTTACAAGGAGGGGTGGGTACCCAGAAGTCTGGAAAATTGAATGAAATCCTAATTCAGAGTAAACGTCTGATATTCCAGAAAACTGAGGTTTCTTACTCTGAAAAACTTTAATGTAAACCCGAGGTAGATAATGGTTATGCCTCATGATTTGAAATAACAAAAAACATTTGCTCTGAAACTTGCCTGTCTTGCTTCAACAGGATCTCCAGCAGAGCTGTCTCCTAGTACTCTCTCTCCAGTTAATCATAGCCTGGGTAAGCTGGAAATATTTACAATTATTTTTCTATGTGCAGTGGCTCTTCATTATATATATAATTACTTTTAAAGTGAAAATGTGCTGTAAGAAATTAGGAGCTATATTATGAGGTCACTGTTGTGTTGGCTTCCTGATGTTAAACATAATGGGGCTGGGTTAATCACTTGTTAACAATTAGTCTGTTTCTGTACCTGTTGAGCTAGAGAAGGAGTTGTAGCAAAGAGAAGGAGTACTATCTTTGTGTATGCAGGAATAGCATTTATAAAATGAATAGTTAAAAGGATGTTTGCCTCTCCATAATGCTGCCCAGACTTGCTGTCTCCCTTGTGTGTGCGTTCTGCTGCTCTTCTCACATACTGTTTCACCTGTAACCACAGGACAGTGTTGCTCCCACATTAGTAGCCCACCTGCTTTGATCCAGTGCTACAGTTGTGTGTTTGTGTAAGTGCCACAGGAAGATCAGATTGCTGTGGGTTTGTTTAAGGAATGGTGACAGGATGTGACAGGAAAATGCAGAATGCTGAGTAAGTAATTAGGGTAGGTAAAAAGGGGAAGCAGCGAAGAAAATAACCTGAAGATACACAGGGAAGATTCTCTGGTAGGGGACACTAAAACAGCTTAGAACTACCTTTATCTAAAGAGACAGTGTGATACAAAAGAACATGATTTTCATATTATTTTTCTTTCCTTTTTGTTGTTCAGTGTTTGATAGTTTAATCTTTTCTTTAATGCTGCCAAAATGTTTGCAAGCTACAGAAAAGGCAACAGGAATGTCTCAGCGTCTGGCGCTCAGAGCACCATTAGCTTAATCATTTTGCTGAGCAAAATGCAAGTACTGAACTAAATGAGCTGTGGTCAGATTAGATCATCCCTTCTTCCCCTCCTCCTTCCCTTGTGTGGAAGATTGAATTCCATTCTATTTACTGAAGTAGGTAAAAAGGACAGCAAGCAAAATATAGTTTGTGTAGTTTAAGAAGGCCACTGCTGCCTTTTCTGGGAGAGACAAATAGCAGGGTAGATTGGTCTACTTTCAGCCTCAAAATCTGTGTTAAGCTTGGTTTTTGACATTTTTTTTTAGACTTGCAACCAGTTACTTACTCGGAGCCTGCGTTTTGGTGTTCAATAGCATATTATGAATTGAATCAAAGAGTGGGAGAAACCTTCCATGCGTCTCAGCCTTCCCTGACTGTAGATGGCTTTACAGATCCATCAAATTCAGAGCGATTTTGTCTAGGTCTGCTTTCCAATGTAAACAGAAATGCTACAGTGGAAATGACAAGGCGACATATAGGTAAAGATCTCTGATCTTTTAACTATTTAATTTAATTTTGTTAGTTAAATTATCTGGAATGACCCAGGTAGGATGTGTGTTGGGTTCCTTTCATCCTTGTGCAGCCAGCCATCAGCCGTATCTCTCAGGGCTTGTCAAGGATAGTTTGGTCTCTCTGGCTGAGAACAGAAGTGGAAAGACACAGATGCTTCTGAAATTAGGGAGAAACGTAGCAGCTTCTGCTGCTGAAGCCCGTTGGAGTGGGAGGTGATGTAGCAGTGGCTGGAGCTGAAAGGAGCTGCCCTTCCTCCCTCCATAGCACCGTAGCTGGTGGCAGCTGCAGTGACAGAGCTGCCACGCTCACAGCAGCACAGGAGAAAGCCACTCTAGTGTGTGGCACTCCTGTGCTCACGTTGCTGTTCTTGCCTTCTGGAAAATGATGGTGCACCAAAGCATCCCGGGGGCGGATTCGTGGCTCCCAGCATCCTCAGTGGTCCACTCTGCCCCAGGCAGCGTTTATATTCAGCATTGCTTGTAACTGAAATTTAAGCTTTAATTACAAAATATTCCTTTGTTGCTTAGTTTATTGTAATTTATAAAATGCAGAATGGACACTGATGGAATGAAATTCTGAATTCTTTTCTGAAATGGGAAAAGCTGCTATTGAGAACCCATTGTTTTGACACGATTAAAGTTTTCTTTGTAATGGTTAGTCAAGAATGTTGTTTTCCATAATGCAGTGACTTGACTTAGGGTTCTTCAGTAAACTACCTTCATTTTTATTTTTTTTTCCTGGATACTTTCATTAGCAACATTTACGAGATTTTTTTGGTTGTTATTGTTGTTTTTACTTGCAGTAAAACTTCAGCCTCTTCTGTAGAACCGACTCCTTTTATGCCAAGTCCAAATGCCAAATCCAAATGCTTGTCTAATAAATTTTTAGATGTGCAGAAACCCAGGCTGTGCCTGTGCTGACTGGTCAAAATGATCAATGATGAGAAAAAGCAAAACTCTCATGAGCCCTTACTCTTTAATGGAGGGAGCTCACATTTTGTTTGAAAAATGTTTTAACTAAAAAGGCGAATGGAAACTATGGCCTCTAAAGTATCTGTTAATTATAAATAGTTCTCTCTGGGAGATCAATTGCACATTATTTACTTTCTGCTAGAAATAAACCATGCAGATCTCCACTCAGAGAGACAGAACAAATAACAACTTAAATGTTGAAAATTCTGATTTTTTCTCACAGATAGTTTTTTGTAATAAGGCTAAATGAAGTCATATTGTTTTTGTTAAAGCAGTACAAGGGTGTGCAGTGGGTTGTGAAATAGTGTGGGTGCATGTAACCAGAGAGTGTTGCAGTGGTGATCTTGTGTTTTCTCTTTCAACCATAGTGGCCTGTGCTACTTCACATACAATGCTTTAATATTAGGACAAGTTTTAATTCTGTTCTTACGAACACTGCTTCTAAGCTTGGATTTGGTTACAACCCATTATATGGCTGGAAAAGGCTTTTTCACTTTTGACCAAAAATTATTCTGCTTTGCTTTCATATATTGTGCGTTTGTGGGAGAAAAATGCAATTTAATTGTGTTCTGCTCCTGCTACAGCTGTCAGCACAACAGTGAGGTCATGTAGATAATTGATTTCTTTTTCTGTTGCAAAGAAAAACCTTGGCCTTCTCTGAAAAATAAAATCCCTTATTCCCTAGCTGCTTGTGTCCCACCATAACTAGAGTTTCTTTGGATTTCACTGCAGGCAGGGGAGTGCGCCTGTATTACATTGGCGGAGAAGTTTTTGCCGAGTGCCTGAGTGATAGCGCAATCTTCGTTCAGAGCCCCAACTGTAATCAAAGATACGGCTGGCATCCTGCAACTGTGTGCAAAATTCCTCCAGGTCAGTAGCCTACCAGAGGTCTCCTGTGAAAATACCCAGTGGAGGTATTCACTGGATGACACTTGCCTTCCGTTTTTGTAATTTCTTCATAGATTCAGGCTTCTCTGTAGCAAATGCAGGTGTATTCACTGACTGTACCTTTTTGATTCTTTATAGGATGCAATCTAAAAATCTTTAATAACCAAGAATTTGCTGCTCTTCTGGCTCAATCTGTGAATCAGGGCTTTGAAGCAGTTTATCAGCTTACTAGAATGTGTACCATAAGAATGAGCTTTGTTAAAGGATGGGGGGCTGAATACAGGTAAGAAAAAACCCTTTGCTCTTAAATTTAGAGTTAATAGTTTTTTTTCTTTCACTAGTATACCATTTCTGTCTGTCTTGAAAGCCATGCATACACACTTCTTGCTGCTATTGTGGATATGCCATTTGCAAATTGAACCCATATTTTCCTTTTTCCCCCCGCCCTCAGCTATGGAACTGCTAATTTACAAAGTCCATAAACTCATTTTAGTGTTGCATTGAAGCCAACTGTTGAGCAAGGAATGTCGTCAAAGTTCCGTTCCCTTGCTCAGTCCCTCTGGCTTGAGTGTTGTGGTGAAATCCGCGCCATCATCCTGAAGTTCCACAGTTTGTGCCGTGAGATTATTTGCTGTGTGTTAGATTTGCAGTCATTCCAGTCATTCAGGTCTCTGCCCTGTTCTGCATGTAGCATGAATTCCTTAGGCTGTGCTGCAGGATGGGCTTGGTGGTACCCAGCGGAGAGACTTGCAGTGGCTCATGCAGAATGAAATAGCTGGAGAGCATGCATCTAGGGGATGGCAAGTATTTTGGAACTTGCAGTGGAAAAAGCTTTGCAGGAGTAAGATGACTGTGTTTGTGTAGTAAAACTTCTAAAAACAGTTCTTTGAGTGGAAAAAAATAACGTTCTATCTGCTTTTGAAGAGATTCCAATTGTGTTCTCTATTAGCACAAATGAAAAGTGGTAGTTGAGGACATTGCCTGTTTTTAATGCAGTATGGAAATTCAAGAAAAAAAAAATTGACTTCTAACTTAGCAGTTCTAAAGATTTCATTACTTTGGAGAGCTAGACCTGTGGTTTTAAACAAATCTCTTAAACTCTCTAGAAATTGTCCATTGAAAGAATGAAGTCTGACATGTCAATACCCTAATGCAATAATGATTTTTTTTAAAGCCATATAATTTCTGAAGTTGAATACTGGTGTGTAGGCTCCACTTGGGTTGATTCCTTTATCTGCTTTTGAAATACATACATGTAAATAGCAGTGTCAGTATGTGGGGGAGGTTTCTCAGCTAGATGAAGCCAATTTTGTAGTAGTCTAATGAGATGAAATGAGAAATTTGAGTAATGGAATAAATTGGTACCTCTTTGTTAGGAAGAAGTACCCAAGAAAAAATCTGGCTCAGGTTTAGAGAGCTCTTGGATTTGGCTCTGCAGGAGGATATATTACTTAAGCATAATTAAATACAGCATTCAAATCTGAGCAGAAGAAAGGCCTAATCAGTCAGATTATATAGAGACATCTTGAAGTGAGTGTAAGTGCTAGTTTAAAACTGTGGGGAGGCTTTTGTTAAAGTTACTTCTGAGTGGGAAAATGTTGGTGGTTGGTCTATAAACTGTTTATAGACCATAAGATTGAAAAAGCAGCAGTGGTAGCGCTGCCAAAATAGCACAAAAGCTGGTTCTAACTCATGCTGAACTAATCTCTTTGCACCTCTCTTTAAGATTATACTAATTAATTATTGATACACAAAGCTTGCAAATATGCTGCAGTTGGGATTAGAGCAAGAAGAGGTGGCTCCAATGACAACCTTGAATTTAAATTAATGTAGCCTGACTTGTTGAAATGGATCAGGAAACACTGTAAACCCAATCACTCTTGTTAAAACATCTGTGCTTCATTATTATGTGAAAAAAACATTTCTCACAGAACAGGCTTAGGCCAAGGCAAAGCATTACTTGTGTGTTAAGCATATGTGCATGAATGTGCAGGTACAGCAAGGTGATAATGTTTTATAGGCTTGGTAGACACAATACCTGACAAAGCTTTTTGCTTTGTTACGTGTTGGTCCAAACTGGGGATGGTAGAAGTTCAGATCACCAGTCAAATGTTGATGTTAGCACAGGAGCTATCCAGGCCCAGGATCATCTTCTAAAGAATGTTCAGCAGAGGTAATTAGTGATCTTTGAACTGGAAATATTTGGGTTGAAGAAGCTGAGTTTTTAGCTTTAAGATGGTTGCTCAGTGACTGTCACTATTTTACCAGCTTTTACCAGTGTGGTGCAAAGGGAGGATTATTGAAGAGAACCAGCTGTAGAATGTTGAGGAATTGTGTTGTGAAACACATTGTAGGAGAGTTGACAGTGGTGGGATAATGAACTTCCTTCTTTGGGAGAAGATTCAAGAGTAAATGGAACTATATTTCCTGTGGTTTAGATTTGTTTTTCTGTTGTATCACTTCGTTCTGGCATAGCATTTGGAGCTAAGATAACTGTTTTGTAGAGTGCTGAAAGAGCACAGACCCCAGCTGCTGTCTTCTAGAAAATGTGAAACTTTTGAAATCAATCTTCACTGTTTTAATATTTCTGCCTTTTCAATTCTTCTGTTTATATAAACAGATTTCCTTAAAGCAAAGGACTGCAGTGCCGATAGTAAAAATGAAGGAGCTCAGTTTGTGTCTGACTAGTCTGCTGCCTTTGAATCTTGGGATAGCTGGAATTACTATGAAAAACTGGCTTAGCAACCATAGTCTTGCCAGTCTGGTTACGGAAAACTCCCATGCCTAGAGTGGGTACAGTGAAATAGGATTTCTCAGGCTTGTCCAATACTGATTTCTTTACTTTGGAAATGAGAAGGAAGATGTTTGAATAACAGATCTGTGAAACAAAGGCATATGGGAGAGAGAATGAAGCCTTTATGGCTGTCAGTCCTTCAGCTTTACTGAAATTTGCTATATGGTGTTTAAATAAGGGCTTCTATTGTGGAAAATTATAGGCAAATTAGTATAGAAGACAAGGGGAACACAATTTCTACTTCAGTTGTTTATGTGAGGATGTTATAGCGCAAAACACATATAGAAGTGTAAGATTACAGGAAATCAGAGATAAAGTTTGGTGTTCCTTTGAGATACCATCAGGTAGCACAGTATAACCACACCATGTTTTGATACAGTGTTTCTGACAACATCTGCCAATTTCCTTGTACATTTGTCATGTAGTCTACTCCAAAAAGCCAGAGCTTATGATCACCATAGCATTGTAGTGTTGGTCATGCTGACAGTGCAGAGCCAAGGGTTTCTGTTCCATATTTCTCAGTAGTTGTCTACAAAATTCAAATCCAGTTATGCGTACAGACCCTTGAAAAGTTGAGATACAGCTGCACACAGTTGTTTGTGGTGTGAACACAGCATCAGTTGGACAGCCTTCACTTCTGAATTTCTTCTTAGAAGTAAGACTCTTGGTGTGGCTCTTGAAGGAAATACTTGTGTTATTATTCTCCAGGGAGAAATATTCTTCATGTATTTGTGGACAAGCATGTAATGATTGATTTGTCTTACATATGTGAAGTGCTTTGGAGTTCTGGGACTTTTTTTTTTTCCTGGAAAAAGTTTAGTAACAGTTATGGTAATGGTTACAGATTTTTATCTCTGTGTACTAGATATGTATGGAAACATATTTAGTCACATGATGCAGAATTTTGTGGCAGCTGAACCTGCCACAATGGGTTGACTCTGGCTGGAGTACCAAAGTAGCTCTCTCACTCCTGTCCACAGCTGGACTGGGGAGAGAAAACACAGCAAAAGGTCATGAGATAAGGACCAGGAGAGACCCTCACTAAATACCATTTGGGAAAACAGGCTTGAATCAGAGTAATTGAATTAATTTATTGCTAACATAACCAGGGCAAGATAATGAGAAGCAAAATAAGATGTAAAACACCTTCGCCCCTTGCCAGCTCTACCTTCTCCCGCAGCTACAAAAGGACAATGACAAATGCACGTCATTGTCAGTTTTTCAGGTGTTGTTCCTGCCACTGCTCAGGGAGAGAAGTCAGAGTCCTTCCCCTGCCCCAGTGTGGGAGACAGTTTTACATGAACTCCAGTGTGAGTCCATCCCATGGGCAGCAACTCTCCATGAACTGCTGCAACGTGGATCCCACTTCCATGGGGTGCAGTCCTTCAAGGACAGGCTGCTCCAGCATGGGCTCCCCTCTCCACAGGGATGTCTTACATACTTTGTAAGTACAGCTAGTGATAACTTAGCTTTCAGAGCAAAAATGTGGCCCTCTCCACGGGCTGCCCCAAGGGCTGCAGGGGAATCTCAGCTCTGACACCTGGAACATCTGCCCTGCCCCTCCTTCTCCACTGCCCTTTGTGTCTGCAGAGTTGTTCCTCTCACTCGTCCTCACCCTGCTCTTCTGTGGCAATTAAAACTGGACAACAATCACATTTTTTTCTTTAATCTGTTATCCCAGAGGCATCACCATTCCTCACTGGCCCAGCCTTGACCAGCAGCATGTCCACCTTCAGAGCTGCCAAAGGATATCTCTGCCAGACATGAAGGAAGCTTGTGTCAGCTTCTGGCAGAAGCCTCCCCTGCTACTAAAACCTGGTGACACCAGCCCAGTGGAGTGACTTTTCCCTGTTCTTTGTTTTCTAGGCGGCAGACGGTAACGAGCACTCCTTGCTGGATTGAGCTTCACCTGAACGGGCCTCTACAGTGGCTGGACAAAGTATTGACTCAGATGGGCTCCCCTTCAGTTCGCTGCTCCAGCATGTCCTAAAACTCTCCTCTGTCACCAGTGGGCTGAAAATCGAGTTCAGTCAACAGACTTAATATAACAGCTCGTCTGTCGTAGTATTTGTGTGTGGTCCCCATGAACTGTTTACTATCTAAAAAGGTTTTTTTAAAAGAAAAAAAAAAAAGAAAAAAGAAAAAAAAAGAAAAGAAAAGAAAAAAGAAAAAACAGCACTTGAGGTCTCATCAGTTAAAGCACCTTGTGGATTCTGTTTCCTATACTCTGATACTAGATGAAAATTTAGTGTATAGAAAAGCCTTCTTCAGAAAGAAGGGACAGTTCTAAAGACTCTTTAATGGTGTTTTTTATTGGGTATATAATTGAGTGTCCTAATGGTTATCAATAACATGAATAGCTAAGTATATATACAGATAATGTTTCATGATCTCAAATATCACAGTATTGTGCTGTTCTACAATTTAGTTCCCATAAATGGTAATGTTGGTTTTTTGATTGGGGCAAGTGTCTCATGAAATTTCAAGACTTTGCTCCCCTATTCTTTTGTATTTTTTTAATATAAGTAGGTTTTCAAGTTGTCCTAAACATAAAAAGACTTTCCTTAGAGAAAAACCGATTTTTTTGCTGCGTTCTGAAGAGAAAGTCCCTCCATTGGAAGGGAAAGAAATGTCTTGAGATTGATCTGTGAAGTCTTAAGACACTTTATTTACTTAATGGGGCCTAAAATGAATTCATATTATAAATTCTGAGTGTCCATCACACTAGCAGTCTACTTTTTGATACCCATTTGAGTTGATGCATCTGTTGCCAGCAGTATTGCTGGCAGTGGTGTAATTTGGGACTTTTTTGTACCTTGGTCATTGAAATGAATTATTTTTTCTCATGCACTGAGAATTTAACATGGCTTTAGATATTGGATTAACTGCACAAAGTTATAGGCTTACCCCTTATCATCTGTATTTTTTTCACTTTTTCATATGTCACTAAAAATAATGGGGTTTAGTTTTCAGAGCCATATACCTTGAAAAATTATTTCCTGGGTAAGCTAGACTCTTTGTTTAGGTTTTAAATAGATGCAGCTTCTTAACATATTTCAGTAACAGAATTTAAATTTCTTATCTGAGTCGCTTTTATAGTTTACTTACACACCAGATCATATGCATTCATTATGTCATAATGGGCCTTGTTATTAAAAGTAGTTGCTTCTGCAAAACCTCTAGAATAGTGGTTGCTGAGGTATGACCAGCGAAGGAGGACTTCCAGGTTCTTCATGACAGTGCATGTTATTGTGAACCCTTGGACACTACAGCTGCACCATATTAAAATTATTCTGAATTATATTCTACAAATAAGTCTGGGTTGGGGATGGGTTGGGAAACTGTATAGAAGGGTTATTCTGACTTGAAAAATACACATCTTACTAACAATCTTGTGATCTAGCTGTCTGTCATTCTTTTGTTATTGTGGCAGTAGCAGGATTGCCTTTGTCTGTTTTTTTCCACTGTTTCATCAATTACACTAGTTCTGTACTTTGTAAGTACAGCTAGTGATAACTTAGCTTTGAGAACAAAAATGTGGCCAGTGTTACAGCTTTTAATCACTTGACTGAATTGGTGATAGTGATGGATATTTTTATGCCATAATGACTAGGGCATAGAAGCAATACCAAAAATCAAGCCTTGAGAAAATGGGCCAGACACCTTTAAAAAATCGGCAAAGCAGTTACCAGTTTGTGCTAGTTTTACCAGTAGACTAATGTATTGGTAGAACTTGTGGACCTAAGAGATTAAGCTTCATGCGTGTTGCATTTGCCTAATATGTGAATACACTAATAAAAGTTTTAATTCTCAAAATGGCCGTTTGGGGTTTTTTTTGATTAATTGCTGTCTGTATATTTTTTTTGTTGCTGTAATCCACCCAGTTAAATGGTACAAGTGTCCTGCATGTGGTGGATGGAAAGGTAGTGTTTAGATCTTAATCCCACTTTCCATGCAGCTGCTGTGGAGGTTCTGGGTCTGTGTGTGTTTGGTGGTACAGACTCCTACTCCTGATGGAGTTTATTAAAGCAGTTGTTTTTTCCCTGCCACAATCAAATTGCATCCTACTATCTCAGGTGTTTACTTTCACCTGTGAGACCGATAAGAGCAACTTGTCTGGGTCAGACTCACATTTTTGAGCAGGTTGCAGCTTGAATCAGGTGGGTGGCCTCGTTCTGTGGCCTCCTTGCAGTAGATTTCTGAATTTGCCTTTCACCTGTGGCAGCGTTGGTTGCTTTGCCTTGAACACTGTAGTAACCTTATCTCTGCATCTTCTCAGAGTGGGCACTTCCAAGGAGAGTGCCAGGACCCTGCAGACACTGCCTGTGGTGCTGCCTGGGTGCAGGACCCTTCTGGTCTGTGTTGAAGTCACTGTTTTTGACTTCTGCTACCACCACTGACGCGTTCTCCTGCCGTTGCTGTTCCAGCCACAGCTTAGAGGCACAAAGGAGTTTATCTGTGTTTGTAATGTTCACTCGCCTGTGTTTCATTTCAGTGCCTATGGCAGTGCTTGACTAACTTTGACCTACCCCTGTTTCTTAATCCAGTGCCTTTCTGACACTGCTGTTCTGCTCTTCTTCAAAATCATGCAGATGGCTGCAGCATCTTAATGCAGAATGCCTGTGGTACATAAGGCATGTGACTTCCTCCCTCTCCTCTTCTGCCAGTCAAAGTACTGATGTCCAAAATACAAATAAAAAGTGAATTTTTTTTTATGAGGCTATTTTGCAAAATAAACCACCTAGCAAGCCAGGGAGTACTCAAATGGAGATGTTTTCAGTAGAGTATGGGGAGCCAGCTGCTTACCTGTATCACGGAGATGAAAAAACTCTGTACAGACTTTGTGTAGCATTGAGTTTAATTCCATGAGCTGGGGTTCTGATCTCTCTTGTCACTAGCCCTGCCTGAGCTTGATTTTCATAGTATTGCCAAAGCCAAGTAATACAACACCAGCTGGTTGATGTAAACATCCAAACTTAGAAATTATTTTTGAGTTGCCTTTTGTCAGCTTGGAGGCACAGAGTTGACTTTTCATAATCCTTCCTCCAAAGAAAAACCTGATTTCATTTATAAGTTGCCTCAGGCCTGAGGCTTTGAGATCCATGTCGAATGCTTGGACTTTTGCAGCTTTAAACTGTGAGAACTGATAGTAGAGTGTCATCATCTCTGCATGTTTCCCCCTTCTTTTTGCAAAAGGCTTCTTCCTAGGTGGAAAGATCCCTACAATAGGCAGTCCCTACTCATGTTTCAGCTTTTTGTGTGGAGTCCTTTGATTGCAGGTGGTGTTACACAAATCTGGAACACCATGAGAGCTGTGGTGTTCTCCTGTTTTTATTCAGGACATTGTGTTTAACTAGATCTTAACCTCCTTGAGATCAATTGCAGCCAAGTAGAGTAAATAATTTAACTTCAGACTCCATATGGAATTGACAGGGACAGGTAAAATCTGAATTTGGCTGTCAGGTAGCATAGGCTGTTGGCAGAGGAGCCTGTTTTAAGTGTGAAATATAAATATAAATAAATATAAATATAAATATAAATATAAATATAAATATAAATATAAATATAAATATAAATATAAATATAAATATAAATATAAATATAAATATAAATATAAAATCTGCCTTAAAGAGGTTCTCTGGTGCTATCAAAGTAGTGAGCTAAGGTATTTAAGATTAAAAGGCTTAAACTAATTAGCACGCAGCTAGAAATCACAGCTACTATACTTCATCAAGCTCTTTGTTTCTATGTGTCCGACATTTTTCATGTTGAAGTGGGAGGTTGTGAAATTTGGGGGTTTGATAATCATCTGCAGCTCTGAATAACTGGCACAATGAACTGTGTTTTGTTTTAGCCTTGAAACTTGTCACACTTCATTGTGGTTACAGTTTTGGGTTTTTTTAGCATTGCAAGCCGAAATTTTACTGCAGCTGGGTTTTGAGTTAAAATATTGTGAAATACAGGATTCGCTACACTCGCCTACACAGTGTTTTACTTGAGTATGAAGTGCTGTTCTTTTTACCAAAACAAGTTTGGCTAACCTAATTTTGGGGATGCTGAAGCTTCAGTGCTAGATCTGAAGAATTAGTGAGGTACTGTCTTTGTTAAAAAAACTATAAAAATAGCAAATAACATACCAGCTGCATTAGCAGCTGCTTCTGGAAGGAAGAGAGGAAGTTCCACCAAAGTCAAATCCTGTGATCCCCTTGTCATGCCGGCAAGAGAAACAGGTTCTGCCTCCACATGTCTCATTGGGATTAGTCTGTACTGCACACCAGTATTGAGTGAGGTCTCATATTTTTGTGGTTTTCATGGGCCAGGCTAATGAATACACACAGTCCAAAAGATAATGGTTTTCCCTCGCCTCTCCCTGGCTAGAGGCAGGGCCCCTGCAAGCCTGGTTGTCCTTCTTGCCTTGGGCGTATGTCTTGGAGGTTCGTTCAAGGGGATCAGACATGTCATCATTATCATCATGCCTGGCGGTTTGGCTACGGGCAACTGGAGCTGCTCTCCTTTTGGTGGCACTTCCTCTCTGAGTCTTACCTTCCTTCAGTTCATGCACCCATTGTGCCAGAGCACCAGTAGGTTTTCCGTCCCATTTCCTCATGTTTTCTCCGCAATCGCACAGGAAGAACCACAGCTCAGTTCTTGGGGTGTACCTTCTCTCACCATCTGAGGAACGTCTGCTTTGGATACCAGAACCTCTGATCTGTACTGCTGAGATTTACAGGTCCTCTTTCATGTCCTCAGTGAATTTCTTGTGATTCTTCTCTATCTTGTCTTCTCATTTCTGCAGACGTGTTTCCACTGCTGCAATTCTGGCATGGGTTGGGCCATGTACAGCTTTTGCAAATGCTTGGAGCTTCTTCGCCATATCGAGCACGGTCTCATCCCTCTCATCTCCATTATTGCTAAGGCAGAAGCGTAGTCATGTGGCCCAAATTGTCCAAGTTTTCGCCACATCACAGATGTACATGGTACCAAGTCTGGATTCCTAGTTGTTATTTCATCTGAGAAGATAATCTCTGCCACTGCCATTGCTCTCAGACATTGGATCCCTTGTTCATTGGATCCCTTCTTCCACTGGGTCTGTTCATATAATGATCATCTGCACACAGGTATCTTTGTGCTACACTTTCCAGAACCCGTGCCCAGAGGCTGTGAGGGTTAGCCCCCCTCATCATTCCTTGATCAATGACAGGATCATGTGATAGGGATCCCAAATGTCTCACTTCACTACCATCCAGAATTGTAGCCTCGCCTGCAGCATCCCAAAGACGGACCAACCAACTAATTACAGACTCATCAGGTCATGGAGTGTAATCCTTCCTTGGGCCACGAAGGTCCTTCAGGGAAAAGGACTCAACAGTGGCTTGATCCTGAGTCAGTTGCTGGCCTTGAGGTTCCTTTCCCCGCATCTTCATCATCTACTGGGCGATTGGTTTTGGTTTTGTTTTTCATGTCTCTCATGGTAGGAGCAACAGCCATTGGTTTAGGCTCAGAGTCTGGTTTAGCTACAGCCTGAGGAGCTGGGGTGTTGTCTGCAGCCTGAGTGACTGGGACAGCTGCTGATTTATCTCCCTGCCCCGCTTCCAGGTCTGCTGCCCTGCAGTGTCTAGCAGGGTGTGATAAGCATATGCCAGGGCCCAGCTCACTGCAATGATCTTTTTCTCCTTAGAGTCATCGTGGCACTTCTCTTCCAGGTACTTCCCCACCTCATCAGGGTTCTGAATTTGTTCATGGGGAAATTCCCAAGCTATTGGATCAGAAAATTCCTTTAGGATCCAGCCTGCTCGCTCCCATTCTTCACACCACTCAGAATTTTCCACAACTGGGTCCACGCCTGGGTCAGGTATCTCATCAGCCCCTCTAGAAATCTCAGCCCTCATTCTATACAAGCTGCAAACCATGTGGAGAAAGCCTACCAGATGAAATACCAGAAGGGTGGTATCCTTGGCATCCAGGGGAGACTGAACATTCTCAAAAAGTGACATAACAGATTTAAAGGAAAAGAAGGAAAGGAAAGGCTGGGAACCCTCGCCCCTTGCTCCACCTCTAACAAACTGGGTATAATTACAAATAAACAACCAAAACTACTGGAACTAGGACACAGGGTACCAAAAAAACCCCATAAACCACTCATATTTCTAACAAACCCCAGTACCTTTGTTAAATCCTTATAAATCTTTATTACCACACGCAGTGAATAGCAAGCTGAATCCGTGCCCCTCTATGTGCCAGGGACAATACTGGAGCTGTCTGTAAATAGGAAAACAAACCTAGGGACCAGAAAGATATTAACACCTCAAACAGGCCTAGGGGCCAGAGAAACATCAAGGCCTCCACCCAGAGAGATTATAAACTCAAAGAACATGGTGGGTTTGCAACTGGCCTGAAGCTTTATCACTACTGAGAAAATATGAATGAAATGTGTTTTTCCTGACCACTTAAGCTTGGCGAGTGAATAACCATCATAAACCATATTAAAGAAGGCTTTTTAAAAAACTCTTCAGTCATGTCGGTCCTCTTTTCCATCTCTCTTGGGCAAAAAGTTGTCTGAGTAAGGTTGGGAAGGCTCTTGTCCTGCATTGTCACAGCCACAAGAATTAGAACCAAGGCTTCAAAGCTGAGAACTGTCTTTGATGTTGCTCTAGCTGTTGTTTCATTAACTGTAATCAGGATTAAATCTAGTTAGCTGGCAGAAGAAAAATGAATGACAATGGATATGTAGAGGTGTCAGACCTCGGTGCTCTTGATCCTTCTCCCCTGTGTAGAAGATCTAGTCAGAATGGATTCAATAAAGCCCAGTTGCTTGT